CACACACACACACACACACACACACACACACACACACACACACACACACACCTGATAGTGTGTTGTACATAAAACACGTCATCATCATGTGGCACTAACTGCAGTAATTACAAAGTGACAAATATTAACTGCTGACAGTGTTATTGATGATTAATAACACATGACCGTAGTCATTACATGCTTATAGACTTTAGAGAACCACTTAACCTCCACAGTGTTTAGTTGGCAGGATAATAACAAGCTCCCTTTAAGAAGTACTGACAAAGTATGAGTGTGTACATCTCTGTGTCTTTGTACTCTTGCTTCCTGAAAAGATGTTATCAAAACACAGGAAATGAGTCCATTTTAGACAATGACTTCAGCGTGGTGTCTGTGTGGTTATGTTGTGATGTTGAAACAATCAGGAGACAGCATGGCTGACAGCAGCACAGTAAAGGCTGGCCATGGTACAACACTTTTTTTATTGGGTTTTAACTGTACAAAATTAGATGTGTTTTTGCCATTTTGATMCATTTGATAATTGTTTCATCAGTTATTAGTTTAAAAGATGAAAAATTGACACAAAAATATGCTGCATTATTAAATTTTAATAAAAGAAATTATTTTACCACACAAAAGATGCACAGGCTTGTGCTCAATAGTGACTGGTTTAACAAAGGAAATGTACTGAAGTCACATTAGTGAAATACTGCCAAGTACCATATAGAAAATGTTTTAACTAATGATCATCCATCAGTATGTTTGACCTGCTTCTCCCTTTCAGAGTCACCGGTGCCCAGCGGGGTACACCCTGGACAGGTCCATCACAGTGCATCATGTAAACTTTACATTTTCATTTAGAAATTCTGAGTGGTCTTTTCTATTTGACAGTAAATAATTATTTTCTGTAATTCACAGGCAGTGGAACCATTTCTTTGCTTTCTTTGTCAGAATGAATCACATCATATTGTGATTAACTGAACCACATTGTGTCACACTGGTTTTTAACGCACATTTATCTTTATTGACTCAGATTATTGGTAGTGTATTAAAATCTGTATCAGACTTGCCACAAACCACAGACGAACAACRCTAGAATGCTGATATGTTGTGTGACTGCTTGGTTTACCAACTGCAGAGATTAAAACAAGAAGACATATACCATCACATCCTGACCACCATCTCTTCCAGTTATCATCACAGGATAAAGGTTTAGAGTAAAGAAGGTCTACTGGACTGGGCTGCACATTGGAACAGTTGGTTAGCACTGTTGTATTACAACATGAAGGTTGTAGGTTAGTACTAACCCCACTCACTGTCCAAACCATGCATATTAGGTTAAAGTCCAGCAGCTAGCACTTTTTCATATCTCATACCCAGCTAAATATAGAGACATAACAAATATTATCAACACCATGTTTTAATAAGGTAATGTAATCTTGTTTTGAAAGCGTAGTTTTGTCAGATTTAAGCCCTTTCAGTTGGTGTTTTGGACCCAAAAACCAAGAGACTTAAAGAGAAATGGGTGAAATCTGTCAAAGTCAAACAGGCAGACTTCATACTGTTTTCCAAACCCTGTTGTATGRTCCAGACACTTTGAACCCAAACATTATCTGGAGCAGAGCCAYGGCTCAGTGGTTAGCACCAACGCCTCACAGCAAGAAGGTCCTGGGTTCGATCCCTGGTTCAGACCTGGGGTCTTTCTGTGTGGAGTTTACGTGTTCTCCTCATGTTTGTGTGGGTATTCTTTGGGTACTCCAGTTTACCCAACCACTAAAAACATGTACAATAGGTTGCCTTCAGGCCCAGGCCTCCCTTGAAAAAGAGACCTGAGATCTCAGTGAGATTTGCCTGGTTAAATAACGTTAAATTAAATAAACAAAATGACAAATCTATTTAGACCTCCATGTCTACCTTTGAGCTTCTGTTGTGTGTCTGAAGGTTCTGCTCTGTCCATCTCACTCCTGCWTTCACTGCCTCTCTCTGCTGAACTCCATTCAACTTTATCCACTGGTTGTTCTTCTTCCTGTAGATTTCCTCCTGCCTCAGGCAGATAGGATATGATGGTACGTTTTAGTTTGGTGGAGGTGGGGGGTGATAGCTGAGGGTGTACAGGGTTGTTTTTGTCTGTTTTGTCTGTTTACACCTCCTTCTAGAGTACACACCAGCTGTGTGAATACATGTTCCTGTTGTTTTTGACACTTGCATCACTAGAATAAAACCAAAACATATAACCACTGTGTGCTATAACAGTGACTGCTCTTTAAGATCACCTGGTACTGGTGAAGGGTTGGACTACTCTAAATGCCCCAAGGTGTGAGTGAAATAAAGAGTTGTCTGTCTTGTTTGTCTCCAATAAAACCTGTAATGGACTGGTGACCTGTCCAGGGTGTACCCCAGCTTTCACCCAACAACCTGTGGAGACAGACCCCAGCTTCCTGTGACCCTGAACAGGAACAAGCAGGCAAACCAAACGGACGGACAGACTATCAGGGTAACATTTCCTCAAACCGTACAACTTCCTAAAACAACACTTCAGGGACCATCTGGGTCCAGTTTGGACGAGTYAGGCACCCCCCTCTCGTCAGTCAATGGCACCYGCAGCTTGTCCGGGTTGTGCCACTTAGGGGTCTTTGTGTTGGAGGTCTGTGGTTAACATAAGGGATCAGGAGGTTAATTAGGTACTGAGGATAGGCTGTCTAGGGCTAATGGAAGTTAAATTTAGGGTCTGGGACGGTTAGTTCTCATGCATTTCCTACTCTTTTCAAAAATATGACAACGTGCTCCTCCTCCTCCTTCATCATCTCATCTCATTAATGACTAACGTGAGGGGGGTACCCACCACATCCAGAACTGGACACAGACAGTACCTGACCAAGTGTCAATATGTTGACGAGTCTGGACTGAGAATGGGTTGTCTAAACATTCATAACTCCCCTCCATCCTCCTTCAGTGTATCGGTTAGATTTCTATCCTCTCAACATTTTTATGTCTGATTTTTACTTGTTTCTTATAAAAATAAGAGGTTAAAKGGATGAATCAGTAATTTGTTCTAAAGCAGACACTTATGGTTTCAGTGGCTGCCTATCAGTTCAGGGGTGACTAACAAAACCCTGAAAATGTAGGCTGCATCTGAGTGTCCTACGTGGCCACTGATATCCAACCATTCATTGTGTCGTCAGCAAGCTAAACAGACAAACAAAGACAGGATTGTTTTACATCTGCGTTTGGAAATTCATCACGAACTGAAGAATTTGTTTTAAATATAAGTTTATCAACTCAGCTGATGACATTAATGGTGCAATGAGATGTTAAATCGAATGCAGGTACAAGCACTGATACTGGAGCTAAACTCAAGTTTTATTTAATTACATGTAATGTTTGTTTTTTACTGAACTTTGTGAAGCTATACCGTGCAACGACAGCTGAAGAAATGTGATATAAAATATATGACCATGTTAACGGGGCAGCACATGGTCACACAGAAGCCCTCCGTAGACTAGACGTCTCATTTCATTATGCAGCCTACACAGGCAGCCTACGTGGGCTGCAGCCCCTGAGCCGAGGCATAAAACCACTGTGTGTTTTCATGGTGAGCTCACCCTGAGCACCTCTCTGCAGATGTAGGCAATCCAGTCTTCTTTCAGATTGTTTCCTTTAGACTTTTTCACCAAGTCTGTGACAGAACCAGCTCCGCAGTACTCCATCACTAACTGCAGGAGCAAACCAGCACATGTTCACGTTAAATACAGGTCAAACACAAACATCCATACAGCTACCATCTTAAATATATATTCTTCATGTGAACACAAACGATTGAATAAAACCAGGTATTATTCAGGTTTTGACTCAGGAGTTTACAAACCCAGAGCTGGTGGTCCTGTCCAGCAGGGCCTTTCTTAATAAAGGCACCATAATAAGTAGCAATGTTTCGATGGTGGGAATAACTTCTCAGCATGTTGATCTCCAGCTTGATCTCCTCCTCTTCATCCTACCACAAACACAACAAAACCATCATACTGTATGAGAAATAACAAACAGCACTGCCTGTTTCAATAATGACTTCCACATTCTGCAGCACAACTTTGTTTAGTTACATTTTACCACCAACTGATACCATCAAGAATCAAACTTTAMAAGGTAATAATGCAGGTAAAAAAACTTTACTGTCACAGATGTTTGAAGTTCAGCATCTTCAGGTGACATCAGGACACCAAGTCAATCTGATCTCCAGTGTGTAACTTAAGGGAACAATCAGAAGGTTGTGTGTTTCTTAGCTCTACTTTAAGTGTTTGCCTTGTTTTTTCTTCTGTACAATCTGGATCATCAGCAGTTATATATACATGTATTATATTATTATTATATGTGAATCTGACACTTGTGACCTCTCCAAGTCAATGAAGTGAAGTGTAGGCTGGAGTGGAGGAAGCTGAGGAAACAAGAGAGAGGGGGTGGAGCTGCAGGATTTAGATGTAAATGTTTATAGAAAAATGAAGCAGCTTCTTCTAGTCGCTGCCTGCCTTTAAAGCTCCTCAGAGATGAGTCACAGAGGAGGGGGGTCACACCCTCCTCCTGTGACTGTGTCTGAGTGTGAGTCAGTGTGGGATGGCTGACAATACACAAACAAAGAGTGGCCAAGAGTCCAACAGCAGCAGAGACACCATGAAGATGAAAACGTCTAAAAACATTAGCAGGTTTCTAATGTGTGGAGGTTAGAGGTTAGTTCAAACTGAAAACAAATAAAGTTCCCTTAAACCAGAGCTTCTTAACCTTTCTGACCTCAGGGCCCAATTCACTGAACATAAAGTGACACCAGGTCCAGTCAGACATTATGGATCAAAATGATCATTATTATAAAGCTTGGTTTAATTTTTATTGTATTTACATCACTACTAAACTATCA